GGGGAACCCAGGGTTGCCAAATCTAGGTTGGGGAACTCCTGGAGATTTGGGACCTGAGCCTGAGGAGGACAGTCATCCATTTTGTCCAGGGGAGCTGATCGCTGTAGTCTGGAGAGGAGCTGTCATTCCGGGCAACCCTAACTCAGCCTGCCCTGGAGAGGAGACTCTCCCTGGTGGCGACTGCGGCAGTTCGGATTGCCCGGCGATCCCCGGCAGGCAGGACGCGAGGGAGAGGAGGCTTTAGCAGGGGAAAGCGAAACCGGCCGGGGGAAGGGGGAATGCAGCAGCGTGGCCATCCGCCCCCCCAGGCCCGCCCCGGCCTCATCCTGACCGCTGCTGGCACCACAGTGCAGAGCCGCACCGCCGGTGACGGGGAGGGAGAAGGGAAAGGACGGCTCGTCCGGCCCAGCCCCAACCAGCCGCATCCTTCGGGGCGGGGGGGGGGAGGAAGGCGTGCTGCCCCATTCAGGAGCCATGCAGCAAAGGCAGGGCTGTCTAAGGCAGAGAGGGTCTGCGAAGAGGCGGCGGGGAGGGAAGACTAGGATGCCTGCCCGCTGGGGGGGGGGGCACAACCCTGCCTGCCTGCCTGCCAGGCCCGCCGCATCACTGTTAATGTCTCTCTGGGGCGGGCAGCAGGGCGGAAAGCAAAAGTGCGTCAGTCTCCCGCCGGGAGGTTGGCACCTGCGCTCGCCTGAATGGGCCCTTATATATGTTTTAAAATTTGTAATTAATAAATACATGTATCTTTTTCTATATATTTTCTACATTTAGTTTTTAATATTGGCCCTCTTTTTCACATTTTACTAACCTTTGTTAGGTTCTGAATTTTAGTGTTAAGGTTCAGTTTTTTGCCCTTTCTGTCCCTGCTCAAATAATTTTGGTAGCATTTGGGTACTACCCAAATATGCTGTGCTTGTCTATTCATCAATTTTTTAGATCTTCATGGCACTGGGGTTCCCCTAAGTTGCAAATACAAATTAGTTTTAACATGATGATAAATGCAATTTTTTGTAGTTGTACACTGCCCCAAGTGTACAAGCCTTGCAAATCCTCTTTTCTTGATGCAAATATCCTGGTTTTCTGGGGATTAACGTCAGTGTGTGTTTTAAAATCTTCTTCATCATTTGTTTTGCCTGTTCTAGTAGTAGGGAGTCCCATACATTGGTGTGTTTGTGTGTCAAGTGCTGTCAAGTGTCAGCTGACTTATGGCGATCCCGTAGGGTTTTCAAAGCCAGTGATTAAGCAGAAGTGGTTTTGCCATTGCCTCCCTCTATAAAGTCTTCCTTGGTGGTCTCCCATCCAGGTTTCATGTACTGTATTGTAAATCACCCAGAGCCTGCTCTGCAGGGTGTTCATAAGTTTAATAAAATAAATTAAAATAAATACTGATCCTGCTTAGCTTCTGAGATCTGGTGAGACTAGGCTATACTATACCATTCCACAGCCCTGTATATTGGGGGGGGGGGATATGAATTTAAAAATTTCATACAGCTGCTGCTCAGCTGCACTGACTACAATAGCCCAAAGGTCACCTGCTGTGGTGGTGTACCTTCTAAATTTGGCAGAAGGGTGGAAGAGAACTGGCATAAAGAAAGGGTTTTAAAAGGATGCACCTATCTCGAGACCAGACCTGGATAGCTCAGGTTGGCCAGTCTCATCAGATCTTGGATGCTAAGAAGGGTTGGCCCTGGCTAGTATCTGGATGAGAGACCTCCAAGGAATACTAGAGTCATTACATGGAAGCAGGCAATGGCAAGCCACCTCTGAACATCTTTTGCCTTCAAAACCCCACAGGATCGCCATAAGTCAGTTGTGACTTATCCTGAGAGAACTTTCAGAGAAGTAAGACAAGGACTTCTTATGTTGCTGTTGAGAAGAGACTCTGGACAAACCAGAGCTCTTGGTTTCTCCCAAATCTCTCACTCTTGGAGTGC